TTTCTGGTATTTGTACAGTAGCAGCTAAGAAGAATATATTTTCAGTTCGAATGCACTAAGCTATAACAATGTTTCTTTTCAGGATTCTACAGCAACCATTCCCTCCGTGCGACGTGCGCCACGAGATTGTTTCATTCAGGAGTTGACGAGCAGCTAATTGCCAAGACAACTGGCCACAGGAGCAATGCAGTGAGGAAATATAAACGGAGCAGCACTGAACAGGAAGCAGCTGTCAGTGACGTCATTCAAGGAAAGAGATTGAAAGCGGAACCAAAGGCCGATGCTGGTTCTGTGACCAGTGTCGGTGGAACAACTACTGCGACTGATCATGTTCACATTTCACTGAATGTAGTCGTGAATAAATGATTTCGGGTTCATTTTGTAATCCCTGAATAAAGTGTGTGAAAAGGCATGTTTGTTGTTTTTTTTAAAGTAGTTCCGTCCGTTCTTTAACTAACATTTTGGTTAGTTAAAGCACGGACACAAACAAAGAAGCTATGCTTTAAGCGAATATAAAGTGATAAATCGCGCCTTTGCATCGAATACATCTATACATGTCAGTGTTATTACAACAATGAAATGTTTTACTACGTTTGTTACAAAAGACAGTAAGTTGGTAATTCAAGACATTGTCACACATGGACAGAAGTAATATCATAAGTTATTACATGTAAGCCATACAAAGGTATTTCAAGCATTTTTGTTCAAGCTGTTGAAAGTTTCATGTTGATGTGAATTGTCAGTTGTCTATGCAATTTACATGAGCATTCTGTAAAGCGTTTGTATTTGATCTGTGTAATTATCAAATCCGGTGCAATTATCACGTGTATCAATCAACTCAGCCTCTATTGATCCATCGTCAATAAAAGCTGGATAGTATATCAGTTACGGTATCGATACACATGCGTATAATCATTCAAGCAGATTACAGTAATGAGATAATTGAACGCCTCTTTCGACCTTGAAACAACAGCCTCCGGTAGAATGCATATGTAGTTACGTCCTTGTTGAAAGGTTTGTCCCTCGACAAGTGTAAAATAAACAGATGCGCTGTTATATCATTTGACATCTTGCTTTATGGAGTCACGCCCCTCTCTGTGATGTTTATACATACATGCACATCTGTAATCTTATGAACCTCGTTTGCATTCAGTAAAGATATAGGCACGCCCACCTTCATAAATATTGGGGTTGGGGGTGTCAACTGCAAGTTTATACACTGTAAGAATTCAGTATAGTGTCACCTCGTGAATTCTGTAATGCGTGTACTCTAGTTTGGATAGTCATTCGTATCAAGGTGAAGATTATATTTATGTATATGTACAACAAACCATTATGTTTTATGTACTAGTTGTGTGCATAAAATGTATATGAAAATATATACTACCTCTACTCAGTGGTTGGATTTCAATCGCTTTGTTTTACTTATCGAAAAACACTAAAATGAGGACAAATAAACTCGCCAAAGTGACTATCTACTCTATTTGTCTTATGTGTATATTTAATACATCGTTACCAGTGTGTATGTTTACAATACACAAACTGTTACATGATAGCTTGAGTTGATAAAGCCGAAACCCAGCATATCGACTGGTCAAGGATATAGCCAATAACCAATCTCTATCCAAGCTGCTGAGTGACCAAACGTGCTCTTCGGAAATTTCGCCCACGCCCCATCACCTGTCCTTTCCTCTGTGACAGGTATCTCATGATACGATTGGTCGCAGATAACATATGACCAGCCACTACATTGAACAGTTGAGATACCGAACGTTCTATTCGGGAAATTTGATGACGCCCTATCACGTGACTCTTTGTTTTATGTCTATGCAAGGAATATGTAGTATACATTTTGTATATGTATGTTTGTATGGTCACGTATGTTTTCTGCATTAAATCTGTATGAATAAATAAAGTGCAATGCTATGAATGTGCTTTGTGCTAGTCACAGACTAGCGTTATAGTACTTTCATTAAAACAATTCGTAAACACTAGAAATGTATCGGCAAAACCGCTATTTTCGTCGAAGATTATAAAGTATGAAAGTAAATTCTTCTTTACAGCATGTCATTGTCATAGATGTTTTGTAAATTTAAACCTCACACAATGATATAAGAGAGAGAATTTGTTAACGTGTGTCTCATCTGTTACATACGAAGAATACATGTGTATGCATATTGTGATAAAATATAAATGTACAAGCCGACAAAAGGTCTACAAGAGAAACTTGCAATAAAATTACATAAAGCTTGCAATACACGACATGTATTCACACCTGATTTCTTTCAACATATATCTTTACGACACAATTAAACAATCAGGACTTGTTTGTACGACTAGACAGTTTCCTGTGATCCCCGAAACCTGCCAGGGAAATCAGGTGTGACTAGCACTAATTAGTCTCGGCACAGAGAGTGGGCAATCAGCGAGGGCTTCCAGGTGTTGAGTAGTGATGGGGCTCTCGGGTTAATGAGTTAATCCTAGTTGAAACGGTGTCAGCCCGATCTGTCGACAAATGAAAAATAGGATGTTGCTAACCGTCGACAGAACAAAAAACCCGGAGTGTCGACATCGCGTGGTCAACATACCGTGACGGTGTTAATTAATGAAAGAGAATGTTTGCTTAGTGGTTTGCAAGTGGCTATGGTGGTTATGTTCGATTCATGAGTAAATGAATTAAGTAATTATAGAGAATGTCTTTTTAACTATTTGTAAGACAATTAAGGTTGCAAACAGACTATTATTTTACGTTATGCGAGTGGAAGGATTACCATTTTGGAGTTTAACATGCAAACAAAATACCCGAAAGAAACAGAGAGCTTATAAATTATTTTGGATATTGGGAGTAGAAGGATTATCGAAATGCTGTTGTAAACATTTATTTGGATACATTTGGATTACGTTACTACCACCTGGGTAGAAGGTCCATGGACTCTGCCAACTTGGAATCATTTTGAAAATGATGGACACAGAACTAACAATAATTTGGAAGGTTTGCACAACAAAATCAACAAGTATGCCATAAAGACACATCCGAATGTGTTTGAGGTTGTGCGAATGCTGCAAAAAGAACAGTCATCTACTGAAGTTAAAATTCAGCAGATCCAAGGACAGCAGAGAGATCCCGTCCGTAGACGTCGCTACTGAACCATCGACGCTAGGATTCAATCCTTGAAGGCCGACCTTCTTGCCGACAGACTTACCGACTTGAACTACACAGACCATGTGTCAAGAAGAAATATCTGGACTCATCTTTTATATATTTATTGCTTATACACCAGCATAAATCACTTATTTCTATAACACACACACACACAAATATATTGTGTGAGATTTATGAAATATATATACAAATATGTTGTACTGTGTGACATATGATACATACATGTTGTTATATTGACTAAATAAATATATTGTCTTCTATATATATCTCACTCTGTTTTTAATTGGTTTGTTAATTTCGAGAACACTGGGCGTGAAGTCACTCATGTAGAACATCATCTCCCTTTCCCCGGACTGTCGACAAGTTGTTTGGATGGATTATTTGTTGTTGTCGACAGTCTGGGTATAAACCGTTGAAATCAGAATCAGAGTCCATTGTACGTAGCAGCCTGTGTTTAAGCCTGTGTTGTGAGTCACTGTCAAACAGGGATGATACCTAGGTGCCAGGTGTCCTGAACATATCTTGAGGCACCGGTTCCACTCGTCACACACACACATGTTTGCACTTAACCCGGCGTAAGTTCCTAATGACCCCGAGTTCACTTTTTCACGTGAACTGGTTGTAGTGACTTCTATATATCAAACAAAACATGTGTACTGATGACTCACGGTTGTATTAGAGTGAGCTAGGCTGGTAAAACAAACATGGAATATGATTATCTCTTTCTCAGCTGGAGTCCTACCACTTGAGGCACCGCCCGGTTGTATTAGTGAGTGAGTTTGATTTTACGCCGCTTTTAGCAATATTACAGCAATATCACGGCGGGGGACACCAGATATGGGCTTCAGATATTTTGCCCATGTGGGGAATCGAACCCGGGTCTTCGGCGTGACGAGCGAACGCTTTAACCAATAGGCTACCCCACCGCCCCCGGTTGTATTAGAGGAAACTTCACACTGTGACGCAAGATGTTCGTGCCAGGCTGTTGGTGTTTTGTATAGAATCTCAACAGTAGCCTAGTCGTTAAAGCGTTCGTTCGTCACACCGAAGAGCCGGGTTCGATTCCCCACATGGATACAATGTGTGAGGCCCATTTCTGGTGTTCCCCGTCGTGATATTGCTGGAATATTGCAAGTGGCGTAAACCTCAACTCACTCACTCAATTATCCGATGCTGCCACGCCCATCTCCATGGATACGTAGCATGAGTATACATAAAATGAGTATTTGGAGTGGTGGTATTGGCTTGCATTAAGTCAGTGTTATACAGAATGGTACTGGTGCTGATCGGTTGAGTCTCCCCAGTTCCTGATGTGCCATTGATCAACCTTATCACTGTCGCCCTGACAGCCGTGATAATAACTGAAATATTACGGCGTACAGCAACATGCGTCCATTCCCCGATGTCGCCCTAGACCCAGCTCAAATCGTATAATGCATACTACCCAATATAAGTATGTCATGTTACCAGACAAGGCTGTCTGCCAGAAGACTAACGATAATAGTTTGAAACAATCGAATGTTCTCTGATTTCGTTTCAGCAATGCATGTTGAGTGAGTGAGTGAGTGAGTTGAGTTTTACGCCGCACTCAGCAATATTCCAGCTACATGGCGGCGGTCTGTAAATAATCGAATCTGGACCAGACAATCCAGTGATCAACAGCATGAGCATCGATCTGCGCAATTGGGAACCGATGACATGTGTCAACCAAGTCAGCAGCCGATCCCGTTAGTCGCCTCTTACAACAAGCATGGGTTACTGAAGACCAATTTTCTCACCCGGACCTTCACGGATACAATGCATGTTGAAGCATATTGATCACGAGTTATTGTTTCAGATGCTGTCGACACCTGGATATCAACTATCATAAGGGAATCATCTCACTTCAGCACGTACGTACACATTTATCTTCAGATTGTGTTTACTGTCGATGCGATGTTAAATTTAACTCACTAACTCCCTCACTCACTCATATTTTGTTAATAACTTCAAATTACTCTATATTATCTTACCTTCATGTAAAATACTTTAATTTCATTGGTCAATGACGGTAGTAGGGTGTGTCGCATTTGCCGGATTTTGCCTTATGTTAAACCTATGGGAGCTCCGCTGGCGGTATCAACTCTGATCTTTCTTTCCTTCTTTTGATGTAGCTTATCTCGTTGACTTAAGATAGGGGTCGCCGGCGCTCGCCGGAAAAGGCAAACAAACCGCGTCGCGCGAGGTATTGACACACCTACCGTCTTATCTGGCACCTCAACTGTCGTATTAGTCGGAAACACTAATGAGAATGAATACGGGTCGGACTCTCTTTTCTAAATGCACGTGCTCATGCTGTTGATCACTGGATTGTCTGGTCCAAACTCGATTATTTACATCAAATTGCTGAAAAGCATGTATCGATATCATGCATGTGAACAGCTGCGTTTTGGTGTAAAGATTCGTTAAGAATTCGCCAGTTTTCACTGTTTTATCATTTCTTGAACTCATGACAATAATCTTTTCAACTGTATTTGTTTTACAATACATCAGTTCATGTGTAAACAGGACCTTTAAACAGTATGGAATAGTTTGCAATATTTAGTTGCCTGGAGTAATTGGCTTTATTCACACTAGTGAGTCTAAACTTTTGGTAGGAAGTATATTGTGGAGGGCTCCGCGTACAGCGACTCCATCTCAGCTTGAAAACGGAGAGAGAAGTCTCCTTGCTCGGGTGGAACCAGAATTAAAAGACTGCATTAAAGTTGAAAAGATATTGTTCTCGGACTCTAGCATTACGACACAATATGTAGACGGTGTGACCGGAGAATAGAGGTATATTATGTAGATGAAAACTTTTTAATAGAGTAAATGTTTATCTTAACGTTACTGACATGACACCGTCAATGTTTACAATAGTACGTATATGTGTATATCTCTTCTGGGTTTGAGGAGATATAGAACTACCATTTGACCCTTGGTCAAGACTTTGCTTGTCTCTGTGTAGTTTATGGATTAACCAGAAAATGGAAATAAAGGAAAGTGTAGTTTTCTCTTCACTTCGTTTAATAATAAACTGATGTGCAAAAGAAAGTACACAGGTTGTGTTTCTTCCAATAAGATAAAAATAACAAAACCTTTTGATGAAATGGAAAATGTATGTTGAAGCACACTGCAATACACATGTTTTAAAAGCAAAATGACATTGTAACAATAAACATCGATGTAGTGATGACCACTGCAGACGGTTCCTACGATGCTGGAAGGTCAAGGCCATTCCACGCAGCGGTCGGTAGGCCCATACATGCCAGCAGGATGAAGTCGTCTTGTCACTGTGAATCGGCTTACGCGATGACCCAATGATGTGGCTGCTGATGACGTCACCGTCAACATCCAGTTGCGTAGTTGAATAACCCGCAGATAGCGATCCTCTAGGGGTGTTGTGACTCTGGAACTTCCACTTCTCGGTCGATCACATGTCTGGCCTGTCGTACTGAAACGGTTAAACAGCCGAATTATGGTTTGTCTTGTGCAACCCAATGTCCTTGCAATATCGCTGTTGAAAGCACCCATTTGTGTCATTCCTTTGGCCCGTTCTCGTTGCGCCGACGTCAATCTTGGCATTTCCTCGTGAGATTTCTGTCAAGTGATTGTTCAGTCTTCACGACAAACAGGTTTTATACTCTCTGTCAGAAAAGTGCTGGTGCATGGGACAATAATCACAATTTTGCAAAGATTCGTGCAAAACACGTACAAATGTTTTTGGTTGCATTTTGGCAAATGAAACATGATGGTTGCGTTCTATACAATCAATGTTTTTCAATAATTTTATTAGTTAGAACGCATATTTGGGATTGCAACAACAATTACACCTGTGTACTTTCTTTTGCACGTCAGTTTATATCATAGGGCTGTGCACCTAAGCAGCGATTTATTTCTTGAAAAAAATAACTTCATGATGTGGTGTATTTGGAAATTCCCACTAACAATAAAAATCGCGATACTTGGCTACTTTTTCTGTGCAAGATCAAGAATTCGCCAATCAACTCGAGAAGAACATGTCTTGTTGAGGGACATCAGATTCGGCAATGATATGATACTGGATATTATGAAAAACCATTTGTACAACAAGTACGTTCGTTTAACCTCGGAGCATGAACGTTATACCGGTTTTAGACTTTCCATGGTTGATAATGTGCGTGTTTCATTAGGTATGCTGATAAAGTACTATGGAGTACTTCTTTATGACGCTTCGAAAAGGATGTTCGACTACTAGACAGGTTAGATGTTTATTTTGTTACACTTTGCTATATAAATTTAATTCATGAAGATAGTACACATATATATCGGCTGTAATGTCACTATATGTCGAGGACGAAGATTTATTACTACCTTGGTTTGTTAAGATCGATCGACTTTTAACATTTAATCCTATCCAATCCAAAAATATAGATAGTGCTAGTGAAATCAGAGAGGTTTTTATTTGTAATAAGTGTCCATATCGGTGTTATCAAGAAGTAGAAGCAAATCACCATATAACTCAACATCGCCGATATTGTAATGAAGTAGCGGCGTACAGTAAGGTATATGGCAGAAGCAAAGTACCCCCATAGCTCAAAATTGTCGATATTTTACTTAAAATCTATTGCCGTGATAGTAGTCAAGACGTAAGTTGGTTTTACAATCACCGAGTATCGCTTGTACGTCGTGTCGTCGAGGATTAACGGTGTTTATTGTGCGGTTAGAGAGTAAGCACTGAAAAGTCAAATACAAACGGAAAAAAAGGATGTACGTTATCGCCCCTGATGTTTAATCTCTATATAAATGATATCATAACTGCTGTGAATAGTCTGTCTATTGGTGTCTTCATCAACGACAACACTGTTGGTATTTTAGCTTCTTGCCGAAAATGAAAATGATTTACAACTTTAACTGGACTGCCTTAATTTATGGTGTCAAGAGAATCCCATGTGTGTGAATATTAATAAGTCTAAGGTTATTCACTTCAGGACTGCCAGTGTAAATAGAACTACGTGTGAATTCAATTGTGGAGACAAGCAGGTTGAAGTGACTGAATATTATAATTATGTAGGACTCTTGCTAACTGAACATGGAGACTACACGAGAATGGCGAAAGCGACAGCAAGTGCTGCAAGTAGAGCTCTCGGATTGCTAACCACCAAATATAAACAACTTGGAGGCATGCAGTTTCAAACCTATACCAAACTATATGACACCATAGTGTGGTCGGTCAGTGAATATGGCGCTAACATATGGGGAACGCTCAAGATGCCATGTATAGAAACAATACAGAACCGAGCTATGAGGTTCTTTCTTGGATTGAGAAAGTTGGCCCCCAACAACGCTGTGTGTGGAGATATGGCCTGGACCCCTCCCCTAGTGAGGCAGTGGACCAGTGTTTCAAGACTTTATATACGCCATAGAAACATGAATCGAGACAGAATTACCTACAAGATATTTTAGTGGTGTTACCAGTGGTCTACGAGAAGAAAAATAAAAACTCAGCGAACTACATATGGGTCACATTATCAACATTGAACATCGTTATGGAAAACAATATGTTGTGAACAGTATTACCACCAAGATGTTTGAGACTTTCAAGGTTGACTGGGAAAGAAACGTCTCAAGACCGGATAGCAGTAATGGAAAGGGCGGAAATAAGTTGAGAACGTACACAACCTTTAAGAACGCTTTCACTGTAGAGCCTTATGTCACAGCAGAGCTACCCAGAAGCCACATGTACAGATCGTCATTAGCCAAGTTTAGAAGCGGAGTTGCGCCCATAACTATAGAGACCGGACGCTACTCCAACACTCCGTACAGTGAGAGATTATGTCATCTATGCAACAATGAAGTTGAAGATGAGAAACATGTTTTGTTAAGACGTACAGTGTATGAAGAGGAAAGACGTAATCTACTGTCATGTTGTTCTGTGATAAATGAGGATTTTAATAACTTAGATGATATTCAGAAAGTTGGTTTTATGCTCTCATCACCTAATGTTATAGCCCAGAGTGCCAAAACGTGTAATAATATTCTTCGTAAGCGTCATAAGATTTTATTTCATTGATTTCTTTTAAAACCTTTAGGTAATTTTTTATCAAAAGGATATTTTATAGAGTGACTGCAGTTCTTAACATTTGAATGTTTTTATATATGTTATAATTGTAAAGTCTCTCGTAACTCTGTACAGGGTGGCTCGTTACTTTTACGCTTATATTGTCTTAAGTTATGTATAGTTTGTATCATGTATATATTATGTATGTACGTTTTCATCAAAATGACTGTAACGAGGTGAGACTATAATAAACAATCTGTCTGTCTGTCTGTCTGTCTGTCTGTCTACAGACGAAACGGAGAATAGACGCAAGAAGATTTGTTTATACATATGAGACACTATCACAAACTGGTCACTCTAACTAGACATGAGTTCTAAAGGTACGTAATTACATTCAAATACTTTATTTTTTCAAGTACAATTAACATTACAACCTTTTATATGTAAATGGTTAATTATAATTACTTCCAAATGTAATTAATTAAATTACAATCACTTTCATAAAATAGAACAATATTATTCTTAAATCAAACATTCTCCTAAGCTTCTAGCTCTTATCAATAAGTAAACAAAATAATATACAAAATAAAGTTTGGAAACAAAGTCTTTCATCCTGTATCTGACTTTTGGCGTATACAAACTATAACACAATCGTACAACAATTAAATTTGAACAGTTGGCACAATTCAAGTTTCTTATAGACGACCATAAATAGAAATGTATTTATTTTTTTGGGAATAATTGACAATTTTTGGATAACAACGATAATAAGAACTTATCGTAACTGAAATTAGTATGACATATGTCCTTTATTTGTGTCAGTCATTACAAAGA